ATCTTGGATCTGGAGGCCTCAGCCAAGTCTTATAGTTGGCTCTAGTTAAATCGTGTTAATTTTAAGCTTCTCTCTGATGGGAGATCTATTGGTACTTTACTTTTATCCATTTCTTTATTTTTGACTTTCTATCATCTAATATTTTTCTTTACAATAAATGAAAACAGGATAGCAATACTGTTTTGTAACCAGCTTGGATTTTCACATAGATGTCATTTCATTCCAACAATTTTCTGTGTCAGTTACCATAGTATTTCACTGACTGTGATTTCCATATTTGTTTATAAAATTTTTGTTTGTTGATCATTTAAATATTAGTACTGTTCATACATGTAATTTGAGTACCCAATGAATACTACAGTATAGTTTGGTTGTTTAAATTACCATATTATTTAATTTCTGTGTTTGTTTAACTTCTCATCAAAAATTCAGAGCTATCTCATTCAGAACTGCTCAAGAGCCTCGACCATTTATTTATTTATTAGCTTCACTATGCAGCATGTGGGATCTTAGTTCTTTGACTAGGGTTTGAACCCATGTCCCCTACATTGGAAGGCAGTCTTAACCACTTGACTACTGGGGAAGTCCTCTAGTGCCTCTACTTTTAAATATAGAACTGGGATTCTTTTCTGTTCTTCAGTTCAGTTGCTCGGTCGTGTCCGACTCTATGTGACCCCATGGACTGCAGCACACCAAGCCTCCCTGTCCATCACCAACTCCTGGAGTTTATTCAAACTCATGTCCATCAAGTCAGTGATGCCATACAGCCATCTCATCCTCTGTCATCCCCTTCTCCTCCTGCCCCCAATCTTTCCCAGCATCAGGGTTTTTTCAAATGAGTCAGCTATTCACATCAGGTGGCCAAAATATTGGCATTTCAGCTTCAGCATCAGTCCTTCCAGTGAACATCCAGGACTGATTTCCTTTAGGATGGACTGGTTGGATCTCCTTGCAGTCCAAGGGACTCTCAAGAGTCTTCTCCAACACCACAGTTCAAAAGCATCAATTTTTCGGCGTTCAGCTTTCTTCACAGTCCAACTCTCACATCCATACATGACCACTGGAAAAACCGTAGCCTTGACTAGACGGACCTTTGTTGGCAAAGTAATATCTCTGCTTTTTAATATGCTGTCTCGGTTGGTCATAGCTTTTCTTCCAAGGAGCAAGAGTCTTTTAATTTCATGGCTGCAGTCACCATCTGCAGTGACTTGGTTACCTCCATAAGAGAGGTCTATAAATAAGAATTTCCAGGGAGTCTGAGTTCTGACCTATCTCATAGGGATCAGGATGATAATATAGGGTTTTTTGTTTTGTTTTATTTTTAGTATTTCTCAGTTTACCATTCTAGAAATATGGTGTATAAAATAAATATCTGTGCAAATAGGGGACACATCCATTGTCTTCATTTCCTAGCACCACAGACTTAGCAGCTTAAAGCAATAGGAATTTCCTCTCTAACAGTTCTGGGGTGATGTCCAGAATCAACATGTTGGTCGGGTGGTTCCTACTGGAGGCTGAGGAGCCTCTCTCCAGGCTTCTTGTTCTTACTGGCCATTCTTGTGGCATTTCTTGTAGGTTTTTTATTCCATTCTTTCTGTCTGACTTCACATGGCATTCTCCTCCATGTCCAAAGTTCCCTCTTCTCATAAGGACACCAGTCAAATTGCATTTAGGGTTACCTTAAATCTGTGTGACTTCCTCTTCACTTGATGACATCTGTAACACCCCTATTTCCTACTAAGGTCATAGTCCCAGGTTTTGCATGAACACAAGTTTTGAGGCTTCCTTGGTAGCTCAGAAGGAAAAGTATCTGCCTGCAGTGCAGGAGACCCGGATTCGATCCCTGGGTCAGCAAGATGCCCTGAAGAAGGAAACGGCAACCCACTCCAGTGCTCGTGCCTGGAGAATCCCACAGACGGAGGGGCCTGGCAGGTACAGCCAATGGGGTCTCAAAGAGTGGGGCATGACTGAGCGACTAACACTTGCTTGCAAGTTTCAAGGGAACGATATTCAATCCAGAGTGCTAACCAAGCAGGACGCTTCCACTTCTCTTCTCAGGGGGAGTGGGGAGGGAGGTTTTACTTCTCCCAGTTTGGGATGGATACCTCATATAGGAACAGACTTGGACGCAAGTCAGAGAAACCTTCTTCTCATTCTCCCTCTTTGTACGTGACGAGGAGTCTGGAGACAGGTGGCCCAGGAAGGTACCGCGGTTCCCAGTGCCAGCTGGGAGCCGTTGCTCCTCGGCTTCCACCTCTGTTGCCCTTGAAGCATGGATTTTGACCTTGAACTTGCTGCCTCAGGGACACAAGATGACCACTTCAGCATCACACTTGGGCATAGGTCCACGCAAGCTGGTGGCTCCTTCTGACCGAGCTTTCCCACCAGTCCTATCCCATGCCTTCTGCCTAGATCTTGTTGTCTGGAAACAGCTTATTTGCCAGGGATGGGGGGTAGATTTTTTATTTCTTTTTAGTTTTTTATTTGTTTCTTTGCTTTAAGCAGGACATACTACTGCATTGGAACAAATGAAGTTTCATTTCGTAAGGAAAGAGGAAAAATAGATATCACAAGAGCCAGCCAGCTAGGACTGTCTGCAGAATCTCCCCAAATTATCAGAGCCATGGCCCTGGTCCTCAGTGAGGAATTCGGGTTGTTTTAGGCGGCCAGTCAGTGTCTGCATGTTTGTACGGGTGTGTGATATATCCATTCTTACCCAAACTCCCTCCCATCCAGGCTGCCACATAACATTGTGCAGAGTTCCCTGTGCCAATAGATGTATATTTTATGAGAGATTTTAGTCAGCCCCTATTATTGAACATTTAAGTTCTGATATATCAATATTTCATATAAATTTTCTTTCATATCTTATATATATTGTCATATATCTTCTAATTGGATGACTTTGAAAGTTTCCCACAGTCCTGTGAGACTTAGTTACTGCATAAAGCTGAGATGTTTGGAGAGAGAGTTTGTTCAGACTGGTGTCAGCCTGGGTGGGATACACTGGACTGCTCTCTGCTCAGTGTAATGGCATGTGATTTTAACTAGGCCAAGAAGTGATGACAAAGTATCAACTAATAGATAATATGAGAGTGAAAGGGAGAGATTATTCAGTAGTTTCTCTTTTGCAACTTCCCCTTTTTGTTCCCATACACCTGGCTTCTCTTCCCCTTATTACCATTTTACTTACCCCTAAAATTAGCCCAAAGTTCCTACTATTATTAATTCTTTGAGACAGATTGAAAAAAAATCAGCCTCAGCCACCAGCTGCGTTTTGTCTCCTCTCTTCGCCTCCACTTTGATTCTAACTCAACCCTCTGACCCCATGCATCAGCCATGGGCTCTGGCTTCCAGCAGACACTTGGTTTTTTCCTGTATCTCATTTCCCTTTGTTCCTGGGACTGTCTGATATGGACTTCCAAGGCAGGCAGAAGCCCAGCATCACACCTTTCCCCAGAGCCTATGCAGCATGCTAATGCCTGCTCCCCGGCGCTGGTAACTGCAGATACGGATGGTTCACGTCAGGGATGAAAGCAGGTGAACCGCTGCGGCTGCCAGGCAAAGATAATGCGGGAATGAGAATGTCAAGGCGCCTTCTCAGGCCTTCCACTGACTTTGCTTGTTTCTCTTCTGTTTTTCTCCCTTGCCGTTCAATCTTTCTACCCCAGGGTTCCCAGCATCTCTCTCAAGGCGTTTCATCTTTCGGCTACACTAACCGGGTTGGCTGTTCTGGGAGGGAGGGTAGCCCTCACGGGAGGGAAAGCTGGAAGGATGGTGGATTTGGAGGCAGGTGGAGGCAGGGGCAGGAGAAAGAAGACAGAGCTGCATCCTGACAGAAAGGTCTATCGTGTGTCACAGCCCCGCGCTCGAAGCACCAGTTACAGTGTTTCTGCGATTGTCAGTTCAGGGTTCTAGTTCTCAGCTGCATGTTCCAGCACAGACTGTGATACAGGGGAGGTTAGGCCCACCTCACATTTTAGTACTGGATGGTTCCTCCTGCCCCTGGGAATTACAGTGAACAACGCATCCCACGTACAGTGCGTCTTTTCCATCTTCCTTCTCTGCGCGCTGGGAGCCCATCTCTTATTTTTTCCATTCCCCTTCCTCCCTGTTTTGCAGGAGAAAAAGCGGCTGTGCGTTCCCCTCTGTGCCTTCCAGCCCAGCACTGAGACACCTCTCCAGTCCTCCCGGCATTGAGAGACCCAGACATCACTCCAGGAGTGAGGACGGGACCGGCGGGCGGCCCTCTGCCCCCGACCTGGCTCCACGCAGGGGCCACGCGGAGGCGGCTTTGCTGGGTTCCCGCGGCCGCTGCTGCAGTGGGCCTGATGGGCCTCCAGGGTGTGCACGCCCCGGTGACCCGGGCCCTGGAAGACTCCACTTGCTGTCATCGGCTTCCGGATGTTCAGAAGGCTGGTGGGGGCTGCAGGCAGTTTCTGAAACCTCAGAGAAGAGGCGGCATATGGCCCCTCTGAGCCCTGCCAGCCTCTTTTCTGGGAGGAGGGGGCTCACCTGGGGGCTGTGAGTGCTCAGTCGCTGGCTCCATGTAATTCAGCAGATATTCGTTGAGAAGTTGCTTGGCATCAGACACAATGCTAAGCAAAACAGGCCTGAAAGGTGAAGGGACCCAGACCCTTCCGGGAGCTGAAAGCCTAGTGTGGGTGATCGTGAGCCGCATCCCTGAGTAGCCTGCAGAGCTAGTAAGAGGCAGCATCCTCTAAGCCCTTGGGTTCCAGGAAGGCCGGGGTGTAGAAGACTCATTCTGAGCGGGACAGGATCCGGGGAGTTTTAGGAGGTGAAGAAAGGTGAACAGGGCCAGGGAGAAGGTGGGTAAGTGTGCAGGGTGTGTTTGTGGGTGCGTGGTCAGGAGGGGGATGGAAATGAGAAAAGAATTCCAGAAGAAAGCAGACTGCTGTGGTTCACATCGGGTTGAATTCCACATACGCGTGTGTCTGGGTCAGTGTGGTGGCACTGAAATGTCCTGCCTGAGGGCTGAGATGAAACGCGTTTTCCCGCAGTTCTGGGCCTGGGGTACAAACCGGGTGCTATCGTGTCGGGCTGTGACGGCGCTCTCTTCAGAGCTTGCCGACGGCCACCTGCTCGGCTCTGTGCTCACGCTGGGAGAGCGAGAGAGGGAGTTCCAGCCAGGTGTGACACAGCAGGGACCCGGCGCCCTGCTCCTTCTTCGCTTGCTGCTTAGGTCTCCGTTACCTCCTCTGCAGAATGAGCGAGTGGGGTTTAGACTCGGCCCTTGGAGGCTTCCAAAGGCAATGTAATCCTTCCTTCTTTCTCTCCTCAGTTCCCTCCGTTCTTCACCACCTCTTTCTGCCCTCCTCTCCTTTCTCCCTTCTTTTTTTCCCCCAAAATATTTGTTGAACACTCACAGACCTCCTGATGGACCTTATACGATGGGGATTGTGATGGTCTGGCCCTGCCACGCTAAACTTCTCATCGGTCCCTCGTAACGCAGCGCAGATGAGCCTGCAGAAAGGACAGGAGGTTGGGCTGCCTGCTCTGATCACCTTTCATCCGTGTCCGGAGTTCTCCAGGCCCTTTTTCAGCTCCTCCGTCTTGCTTTTGCGGGGCCTAGCACTGGGCAGAATTCTACTCTAGCCCATCAAGAAGCAGGCACGTGAATCTTTCTGCACATGTCGAGATTATAGATTGGAAGACACGGGATTGCCTGTGATGGCCTGCCTGTTTGCCAAATCAGAATACTCGATTTGTCTATTTGCCAACTGGGAGAAATCAACCTCCACTTATCAGTTATTTGAGGCTTCTCTGGTGGTTCAGCAGTAAAGAATCCACCAGCCAATGCAGTAGATGCAGATTCAATCTGTGGGTCAGGAAGATCCCCTGGAGTAGGACATGGCAACCGGCTCCAGTATTCTTGCTAGAGAATCCCATGAACAGGGGAGCCTGGTGGGTAACAGTTCATGGGGTCGCAAAGAGTCAGACATGACTTAGCAACTAAAGAACAACAAAACCAATTATTTGATAGCAAGTTTATGCTGACAAATATCAAATATTAAGCATATAAAGCCTTTATGGGTCCAGTGGTTAACATTCCTATTAAGAAAGTACCTGCAATGTGCCTGGTGAGGTCAGCTAGGCTCCTTTCCCTGGTGTCTCAGTCCCTTCTCTCTTCCGGAATACTCACCTTCTAGACACAGGAGGGCTTCTCTTCTAGCTCAGGTGGTAAAGAATCTGCCTGCAGTGCAGAAAACCCGAGTTTGATCCCTGGGTTGGGAAGATTCCCCTGGAGAAAGAAATGGCACCCCACTCCAGTATCCTTGCCTGGAAAATCTCATGGACAGAGGAGCCTGGTAGGCTGTAGTCCATGGGGTCACAAAGAGTCGGGCACGACTGGGCGACTAACACTTCCTTACTTAGACACAAGTAGGGAGCCAGTTTCCTGTGTCTGAGGTTTCTAGGAAGTCAAGAACTTGAGTTTCTGGCACCTTAGAAATTTTTCTGAATTGCCAAGAAGAGGTGACTGTCTTGATCATTACTTCTTTTCTTGAAATGGACAGTACTAAACAAATCAGTGCCATTTCCCTCTTCCTTTAGATAAACTGCTCTCGACTATGAGGAGGGCTTTGAGAATCCCAGGGTGGGTTTCTGAGCAGTTTTGGCCAACAAGGTGAGAGAGCAAATCCCCCTGTTTGAGATGGCACACAGATTGCGCCGTGCCCATCATCCGCTCTGTGTTGCCCTCACAGGGGCAGGCAGCCTTTCCAGGCCTCCTTGTCCAGACCCCCCTCCACGGGGAAGGGTCACTCTAAATAGAGCTGGGTTTTGCTGTCGTCAATTGCCGACAGCTCATGATCAGCTGGACCTGCACCCAGGTCTGTTTTGCCCCACCAGACCGTCCTCTTGTCTGGGATCGTGCCTCCCTGCCTGAGGTCATCATGCCCTGGTTATCCACGACCCATAGTAAAGCTCTTTCCAGCTTGCTTTACTTTATATCTATTCTTTCATGGCTGTTTTAAACACACACTTAATAGGGAAGAATAGGTGGCTTGAGGTACAATGTTAACATCAACGCCTGGTTCCCACAGTAATGTGACAGTCTCTACCGTGCAGAATTATAGCTTCTGTTTTGGTAACATGGGTTCATCTAATCATTTGAAATTTTATACAAACACACACATACACACACACTTTTCCAGAAGATGACCACAATGACCCATTTTCAACAACATAAGAACTTGCACTTCAGTGACTATACAAACATCGACCAAAATCATCTGCCAAATAGTTTTTGTTCAAACAGAATCTGAATATTTTTAATAATAGTAGCAATGATAATAGTATCATTTATAGAGCATTCACTATATGCTGGGTCAATTTCTAAGCAGTTTAAATGTATTGACTCTTAAAAACACACTAAACCAAGCTGAGGGGATATCTAATATAGGCAGACGCTGTGTGTCCATTGAATTCAGAGCATTATTGATACTGGACTGTCTGGGAGACTCACATCCCTTCGGTCGTTTTTCTAAGTTCCTTCTCTCTTCTCGGGGAAGCTGGAGGCAGAGTGAGCAGAGATGAGCCCTCCAGGCAGCCCCTTGCCGTCTGCCCTTGGTTCTGTTCATCTCCCTCGCCATCACTGCCACTGACACATGGTCTCCTTAGCACCCGTCCGCACCAACACTTGCAGCTCAGTACCCCACTGAGCGCTAACCCTGGATCTGGCAGACTTGGAAGCGCCTCCTGCTTTGTTCTCGTGTTGTGGCCTTGCCCTGACCTTGAGCTCTTTAACCTGGGTGGTGTAGAAAGTGTAAACGTCACAGCTGTCAGCCACACAGGAGAGTGTGGGCAAGTTCCAATAGTTGCAATACTCTCAGTCTAAGCTGTCTGCTCCTTCCATTTCCTGGGTCCCTTGTGGCTCCTCCTGGGTTGGGATTAGGGAAAGACTGGGAGGGAAAGGGGTGCGGACACGTGTTCCTGCTGACTGACGTCGTGTGTTGCTGTGGGCACAGTTTGGGGCACATCCCCTCCCCATCACTGAGGTGTATGCTGTGGACACTCACCTTGATAATGCTGAATGAGTCCCTCGGACAAGGTGCTTCTTACTCCTTCCTCAGCCTCTGGCCACATAGAAATGCACTTTTACCTCCGCTATGCTAGGGTCCTTTGGCTCCTCTAAGCAGCATTTGGAACAGGACTGAAGGTAGCTTCAAGCCAGGTCTCCTCTTTGCATGAACCACTCCTGGTCCAGGGAGATCACGAATTTCTTTGTTCCATGAGACTCCAGGAAAGGACCTTCTCTCCTGTCTGCAGAGCGGCCGGCCCCTGCAACGGCTTCCGTTCACATTTGTCAGGAGGGCTTGAGACTGCAGGCTCCTTGCCCCAAATTCTAAGACACAAGGATTAAGTTTTGGTTTTGGCCAGGGGAGGGCATGTTTAAAGCCCATTTCACTGTTTTTCAGCAAGGGAAATACACCTTTCTTAACCATTCCTCAAAATTCTCTTCTATTCTTTCTAGAATTTCCAGTCTTCCTCAGCTTCTCCAAGTTCTTTAATGGATTGGAGGTAGAAAGCGAAAAGTGAAAGCGTTAGTCACTCATTGTGTCAGAGTCTTTGTGACCCAACAGGCTCCTCTGTCCATGGGATGCTTCAGGCAAGAACAGTGGAGTAGTTTGGCCTTCCCTTCTCAAGGGGATCTTCCTGACCCGGGGATGGAACCTGGGTCTCCCACATTGCAGGCAGATTCTTTACTGTTTGAACACAATCCCCAAATTGGTTCTCAGCTACCTATTTTGAAAGTCCTTGCTTTTGCTTTTTCCCAACTCACTTTGTAATGTAAATGAGCCTGATCCCTTGATTTAGGGCCCCAGTCAAAACTGCTCTGCAGTAATTCCATTTGAACATTTTGTTTTACCTACAATGAAACAGAATATTGGCAAAAGTTATGACTGATCACTTCACAGATACAATCATATAAATAGCCAACACACATATTGAAAGATGCTCAACATAATTATGAAATCTTGGAAATAGAATTAGAACAATTAGATACTGTGTTTATCATATTGGTGGAATGTAAATGATTGATAACAAATAGTACTAGTGGCATCATTTGTATCATTTCCATAGGGAAATCATACATTGTTGGTGGAGCATCCATTGGCATAGTCTTTTCTGGAAAGCAATCTGTCAGTCTGCATTAAGATAAGAAATGGGCATGTTCTTGAGCCGTATTTCTACACCTCTTTTTGCTGTCTGAGAGAAATACTTGCCCATGTATTTACAAAGGCAGGCCAAAGACGCGCGTTGCAGCGTTGCTTGTGAGAACAAAAGTGAGACGGCATGTCAATGGCAGACAGTTACATTAGTAGTTTCCCAATCTGCCCTGAGGTCAGTGGTATGATACTGATGAGAGCAGCGTGGGTTACTTCTAGGTTATGTCTTTTTAACCAGTGTTAACATTTCAACCAAAATGTTCTCCATGCCCTTCCACTTACAGGATGAATATAATCAAAGACCCTAAGAGATGGCTAGCAACCGGATGGAAAGAAATTGGGTTCCCCAACGGAGGAAAGCTACCTGTCAATGTCCATCACTCTCATTGGACTGGTTGGTGAATAAAACATCAACTTCGACCATATCAAGCCACTGACATTTTGGGATTTATTTGTGAAAGTAGCCAGTGTTACCCTAGCACAAATGATTTATAGCAGTTAAAAAGGAGGAAGTAGATTAGTATATTTTGACATAACCATATCTCAAAGATATATTGATGAAGAAAGAAAATATAATATCATGTATATTACATAAAATTTATATGTGTGTGTGTGTGTGTATAAACACACAGAAAAATGTGTGGAGGGTAAACAGCAAACTAATCACAGTGACTACTTCCAAAGAGGGGGGTGGGGCTGGGTATTGTGGTAAGTGGAGACTTTTGCTCTGTATTATTGAAATTTTTATGAGGAGAATACTTCTTGTATTACTTGTGTAATTAAAATTATGAAAGACATTGGATTGGCTCCCTAGGCAATTGCTTGACTTGAACTGTTCATTTTTGTTTCTGTCCTCATTTATGTGAGGAAAATAGATAAAAGCTTTTCATCCTGCCCTGCTCACCAATATCCCGTAATGAGTAGAGATTATTGGGAGTAATTCCCAAATTATGGTTTTTG